TGATGTTTTGAACTCGTTCCGATGTTTCTTGAGTGAATAGTGAATTTCTTAATATTAGATGAAAACAGCGTGCATACCCTAATTTTCGTAAAACTGACTTTTCGGTTGATTATTAAAATTTTTTCTCTAAACAAATATTGCCGCGAGACTCAGCATGGTCAATTACCCATAGTCCATCCGTCCTCAAGGCTACCAGTAGTCACCGGATGCCAGTCCTGGGACTCGTAGGAAATCCGATACAACGCCTGAACCGAGGAAAATCAAGGTCTCCCTTCACTCCCATTTTGAAGAGAACACCCCGGCCTATCAGTCTATGAAAGAAAAGCAAAATAATCCTATTGGGAAATTTTTATAGACGGCCTAGTTTCTCAAAGATTTCCTAGGAAACCTGTGTCAGAAAACTGTTCTAAAAACAGTGTTGGTTATGAAAACATGCCTCCAAGTCTCCTTTTTCGAACGGCGAAAATCGGAGCTCTCTAGCTCTTTTCTATCAAAACTTACTGTTGAATTAGAAGCACATGTCCGCCTGCTCTAGCAAAACTTGCCCACTGTGCGTAGGTAAAGTTAGCCGCAGATTCGACTATTTTACGAAAACATTCACTCCGACAACTGTGCCAACTTCGAGCATTGCTGTGCCAGACTCAATTTAGAACTTTTCATCCGCTGACATGTTCAGCTTTCATGCTTATTATTCCAAAAAGTTTTAAACAACAAAGTACCAGTTTTTCCCACGAACAAAATACACGAAACTTCACACTTTAACAAAACATTCGCACTCAGAACTGTGCCATCATAAATTTGATCTGTGCCAGGTAGAACTCGTGGAGCTCTATCCAATAGTGTATCTTTCAAGGATACATCTCAATCTCAACCATACGAAATATTTCAAAAGCTCGTTTTTCAGGAGGTTTCACAGTATTTCTCGAAAATATTCGCTCTCGACGCTGTGCCAAATGAAATCAACATTTCCTCGAATAGATCTCGTCGCGGTCTATCCAATGGTGTATCGTACAAGGATACATCTCAATCTCAACTATACCACATACTTCAAAAACTGGATTTTCAGGCAGTTTGTCAGAGTATTTCTCGAAAATATTCGCTTTCGAACCTGTGCCAAATGAGATCAACAGTTCATCAAATAGATCTCGTCGAGGTCTATTCAATGCCGTATCTTTGAAGGATACATCTCATGGTCAATGGTGTAAAATATTTCAAAAAGTGCTTCCCAGCATATAGCACTATGTTTCATCGTATGGCTTAGGTTGATCGTCGCGTATTACTATATCTATTTTGTCAGACTGACTTTTAATTACATTCTACTTGTGGTCGTACGCGTATAGGTGCCCTTTTGGTGATCGACATATGATTTAATGTTTATTGTGTAGGTCTATTTCAGTCTTTTAATAACGACGAAAACAGAAAAGAAGAAAAATACATACACTTGATCATGTTCTACAAATTGTTCATATTTACGCGGATAGAAAACGTTAGGAGTCAGTTCTAGTTCCACGGTCGAGTATTATCAACCATGTCTTTTATTTTATCTGCATAATATATTCATTGGCTGGCGCTGGAATATAGACAGAGCTGAAAATAAAATAGAAACTTAACAAATCTGATGAGAAAGTAGAAGAAAAAGCTGAGAAAAGTCGTTGGTAATGTCCGAAGATTACGTTGCAGTAAGATTGTTTTACTTACGTAGTATACTTACACAAACAGTAGACTATGCTTATTCATATTCTTAAGAATCAACTGTCATTGTCTGTTTGTTTTTCTCTATCATTTGTTTGTAGAAATAATTCAGAAGTTCATTCTATGGTTGCTGAGGATTTTGTGGGAGGATGACTGTATATCGACCTCCAGTATTACCTAGGCGTTTACAATTATGTTTGCACATGCAATAGATAATGAAAATACAGATTAATACAATAACAAGGGATGCTGGCAGAACATACAAAAATGGTGATAAAAGACTTTGTTTTATAGTAGAAATATATGGTGGCTGCATAGGTGATAGTACACGATTAACAACATCCATAATATCATCCATGTTCGCATCAATGTAATTCAAACGTGGTACAGATGAATCATTGAGATGTTTTTCGATATGAAAAATATCAGCATCGATTGCTGATGACGTACCATTTTGTATTACAACAATTGAGTTATTAGCATTGATTAATGGTTTGCCTATTAACGTATGAGGTATATTCCTGTTGCAAAGAGAAAACGTTATGAAAAATGTAAGATGTACCGGCTACAGTATATTGGTTTGAAATATAAACTCTGTTATTTAATGCTTTTAGGGCACATCATTCCATAAAGCAGAAGAAGGAAATGAAATCAATAGCTGTCTATATATTCCTAGTAAATAGGTATCTAAGATACTTTCATAGAGTCCCTTTGATCATGCATATTGAAAATCACATTATGATGCGAGAACAGCTTAAAGACGAAAAACGGTAACGATGATAATTAAACTATAGGTGATTACTTTCTGCTTACCCATAATATTGAAACCGTCACAACTGATCATTGTATTGTTGGGTACTTTTAGAAGTGACGCCGATGACAATAATATTCGTTCATTTATCATAACAACATTTTTATATGCATTGTCCGATGGTATAATTGGAATTTTGAAACATTCAACAGACGTGTTTAATGAAACTACCCAATAAGAACCATGTAGTTGAAGGATAAAATGTGGCGCATCTGGTACATTTTAATACATACACGAAGACAATTTATTTTTCTTTAAAATTTGATCAAGACAAATATTTGATTAAGTCGAATGTATAGTGGGTACATCACGATAGAATCAACTTTTCATATCTAAAAATGAAGTTTTTATTGAAATTTAAAAAATAGGACAAAAAACCCGAACAAAAATTAAAAATTCTTTTTATCAGAAACTATAAATCCGGGAACCGAAAGCTTTGTTGGAACATATACTTCGTGATGTCCGCTACAAACTGGCGGAAAACAACGGGTGGGGGCCTCCCCCCTTAAGCTACTACTATACCCGTGGTGGGGTGTAAGTTGTTTACTCGATTTCTCTGCTTGCTCAGGTATTCACCATCTATATATTAAACTATTCTTACTCTATTCTAGCAAAGAGGATAATATCCCATTTCCTAACTATTTGAACCATTTTTCATGCGATACATTTGGTTACTGCGATGAAAGAATCGGAGAAAAAAAGCCCAAACGTTACGATGGCGATATAATTGTTGATTCCACTAGTGAATATAGAAACGGGTGCTACCGAAACTAAGTATATTATGCGAATAAAATCGCTCTTTCTTCAATATCTGAAAATCTCGTTTTGGTTTTTAGAGTCATGTATATATGCAATTCCGTAAGAACGGTATTCATGTACCAATTGCAAGAACGCCCGTCGCTGTGTATTATAAATATTAGTACTCAAGGAGCGAGAGTGTCTCAGTTGCCCGATGTTCTTCAGATCGGCACAGATATGCAAGAAATTAAGCTGCATTTCTAACGATAGACCTAACTCTCTTCCTACTTCAGCTATCAATTACGCGCTTGTATCTGTGGACTTGCCGCGCATCTCACGGCCACAATAAAACTCGGTACAAAGCATTTCAAGTTCAACGACATACATCCGAGCAGAGTTCATGCGTACGACGGTGCCGATATTGTTGAAACCGCTATTTATACTTTGTTAATCTAAAACTTGTAAGAAAACAAAATAATTTTATCTCAGCGTAAACTAATTAAATTATCAAAGAAAGTGTGTTCTCCTTCTTTTAGCCTTATCTTTACCATTGCTTTGGGCCCCGTCCATATTACATCAACCGTTCAATGTATTATATACATCAAATATTTTACAATACGCAAACATATAATCGATTAATCCTTTTCTAGTAACGTGCATGTCAATAATATGTACGACGCATACCTCTAATTTTCTTTTTTTTCTTTTCTTTGTCAATAAAAGACTGAAATAGACGTTCACAATAAACATTAAATCATCTACCATTCAACAAAAGGGCACATATACACGTACGACCACAAGTAGAATGTAATCAAAAATCAGTATGACAAAAACAGATATAATAATATGGCACGAACAACCCAAGCGAATATTTTTGAGAAAATATTTCGTATGGTTGAGATTGAGATGTATCCTTGAAAGATACACTATTGGATAGAGCTCCACGAGTTCTACCTGGCACAGATCAAATTTATGATGGCACAGTTCTCAGTGCGAATGTTTTGTTAAAGTGTGAAGTTTCGTGTATTTTGTTCGTGGGAAAAACTGGTACTTTGTTGTTTAAAACTTTTTGGAATAATAAGCATGAAAGCTGAACATGTCAGCGGATGAAAAGTTCTAAATTGAGTCTGGCACAGCAATGCTCAAAGTTGACACAGTTGTCGGAGTGAATGTTTTCGTAAAATAGTCGAATCTGCGGCTAACTTCACCTACGTTCTGGCTGTTTGCAAGAGGCAACTTCAAATACATAATTTGATATTTCTATTGGATAGCGATACTTGATAAATGATAAAATAACTATATTTGGCTTGGCTCGATATTTATATAAATATCCGCGATCAAAAGGCACTATTTGTTTCTATTTGTTCCTAACTATTGTTTGTTATTTGCCATACATTATTATATTATACCATACATATTAAATGAGCATTTTGCTAACATTTGTACAATCGATATAAATAATTGTAATGAATTTATTTCGCATTATAAACAGCTAGGTAAACGTGCATGTTGCTATAATAAATTTGAGATATTTTTGCATGATATATACTTATTTACATCCACATCTCACATTATTAGTTGAGTAAATGTTTAAAAATGATAATAATAATTGTATGATATTCACAACTAGCATTTTTATTTACAAAATAAAATCGATGCTTCAACCTATTATCCGTTCCAAAAGTCAACACACTCCATTTTATCTGTAGTTCAATAAGTTCTCAATAGTGCTCAATAAATGTTAAAAAACCCAACAGAAAATACTTTGATTTCTAGAAAGATTTCTCAGAAACCTTCGGAACTAAGTGAATACTTTTGTATTGATTTTACGTAAAAAATCAGAATTAGTGGGTAAAATAGAGTGTTTCCTGAAATTCTGAAGTAGTTTGAATAGTTTTGACTCAGTTTTGAATTTTTTAAATTTTGGTGAAAATAATCAAAAATGGGTTATATCACCTAGTATAGGTTTTCACTCAGTTCTTGCATTTTGTTCTGAAAACTAACACTACCACGAGATTGAGCATAGTCGATAACCTATGTTTTCATGTGTTTACAATAGTGCCACACATAAAGAAAGGGAAGTCCTAGGGCTTCAGAAAAACTGCCTGGTTTGTCTAAACCTTGCACGATAGAACTTTTGTTTATATCTAGTTTTGTAGGGGATACGCTGAGCTATCTATCCATGTAAAAAAGTCAACATTCTTCTATGGCAGTTTTCAGAAATCCATCGTAGTTTTCCAGAGATCCTTTGAAAAACTGGTTGGGGATTTGTTTTTAGGAAACATTCTGCCTGTGAAAATATGCTCTTGGATCTTGGCTGTCAAAAGGCGGAAACCGCAGGTCTTCATCTTGTTCCTATCAAAAGTTATTCAAAAAACAACCGAGTACATTGACTTCTGGAACGGATAATAATACACGGATCGTTATCAACACTTTATAATGTTAATAAATACGTATGTTGTAGGAAAATGTCTAACATCCAAGAACCATAAGATATAGAGAGGTCGGCTTTGTCACAGAATCGTAGAGTAGACATTGGGCTACTGTATGGCTAAATTGAAAACATACTTAATGAAAGGAACTGGGCAATGATTGTCCAGAAACCGCTTAGAAAATCCCTAGAAAATCTGTAAAGGATTTTGGCTCTACTGCGAACAGATGCCTCCATTCATCCTCTTGCTAATGATGAAAACCCGATAGCTATCAGCGTTGCCGAATTATTCTATAAGTAACCGACTGCACTTTGTTTTGAAATGAGCAGTAGTAAGGCGCTCCAAATTCAAAGTTTAAGTACCATTTTGTTTTTGGTCTAATCGGACATCAGTCAACAGAAAACTGCACGTTGATCAAGAATGTTTATCTTTCAGCCTTCTTAATGCAGTTTTATAGTAAAAAAAATTCGAAAAACTTCAAGGACCTGCTTTTTTGAAAAATAGCTAATTTTTTTAAAAAGCTGAATAACTCTATCTCATTTCGAAGCTTCGAAACTACATTTATCTTATTCAGCGTTGAAAACTGTATTTCAAGGTTTCGCACCAAAAAATACTTTCTTGGCGCGAAATGGGACTGATATATCTTCGGTTTGGAGACTCTCGTCCTGCAAACGCGAAATTCTTGATTAGCAAAAGCGAAATTTTCATATCACTACGTACAAAATGGACCGCGAAAGCGCGCCATCTTGCGCATCAGGCGACAAGTGGTGCGCATTCGCTGTGTAGAAGAAAACAAACAACTGAGAGGGAGATATTTATTTACGAACAATGATTTCTCATTCGTTTGATTTGATGCTTAACTTTTAATTTTATTGATAAATATGCAATTTACTAAAAGAAAATCACAGAATCCTCAAGTGAAGACGAAGAATTCATTAATCCACAACCCGATACCATCGATTTTACCAACAAGCAAATTTTTTCACACACGTTATGTGTACAACAGTGTTATCCAAAATTTTTAAGTACAATGATCTATATGATTTTAGACATTTAAATTTATCATCGAGAGATGCTCATCAATTTCTAAGTTCGTTTACCACAATGAACGTCCTAACGTGCCACAAATAGGTTAAAACATTTTTAATATGAAGATTTCAATGATTTTGTAAGTGAAAACAGAGGTAGAAAGCAGACCGATGGGTTTTATGACGTTTTTCCTGAGCTGGAGATTCCAGACTGGGTTTTTTGTATCCTTGTGGTTTTAAATCAACTTGTAAGGAGTTATAGTATTTATAATGTTTTATTCAGTTACAATTTTACTTCTGGTATCTTCGATTCTTTTGTTTGTTTATTAGCAAAAAGTGACAGGATAAACATATCCAGTTTTACGATGTGTTATCTTTTCCTTTCTATCAGTTTCATATACGTGCATAATGTTTCTTTTCTGCTATCTTAAATGGTATCATTTAGTGTTCTCTAGCTTAGATCGTGCATGGTGCGAGTAGGAAATATGGATTGTATTGCAAAATATAATCAAGAAAAATACCAAATTAATGTTCAAAAATATATAACATGACATCGTGACACTTTTTCAATAAAAAATAACTATACGTGCCATTTTTAGTCTATGACATTCTGAAATATCTTATTTAACGTATGTTGTAGGAAAATGTCTAACATCCAAGAACCATAAGATATAGAGAGGTCGGCTTTGTCACAGAATCGTAGAGTAGACATTGGGCTACTGTATGGCTAAATTGAAAACATACTTAATGAAAGGAACTGGGCAATGATTGTCCAGAAACCGCTTAGAAAATCCCTAGAAAATCTGTAAAGGATTTTGGCTCTACTGCGAACAGATGCCTCCATTCATCCTCTTNAATATAATCAAGAAAAATACCAAATTAATGTTCAAAAATATATAACATGACATCGTGACACTTTTTCAATAAAAAATAACTATACGTGCCATTTTTAGTCTATGACATTCTGAAATATCTTATTTAAACGAAAACTGCTTGCTAGGAACATGACATCTATGGCAGACATACACTGGTAATTATATTTTACTGAATTACTGCCAGGATAATACCGTTATTGCCTTTCAGTAGAAACCAGCATGGTTATGTGTTAGAACATAGCCGATAGTCTAGATTTTAAGTAAATGGATGGTTGCCCCCCTTGATGAGTGCATTCTACTGTGAATATCGCTTACTCAAAAGTATTTTATATTTATATTTTTTTGCTAGTATTTTTGTGCATAATGCGAGATGTGCTCGTCGATGACCATACTTGAAGTTAAACTCTAAGTAATGAAATTTATTTCTTGCTGAAATAACAAATGAAAGTGTCCAAAATATTCATGATTATTACGTTAAATCTCGTATCATTGTGAATAATCAGTGTGAAAGAAAATGCATGAGTATTCGTAAGTACTCATGCATTTTCGTACGAATGTGTTTCTACAGAGTCTGTCTTTCTATATTCATGCATGGGGTACTATACACTAGGACTAACTATATTGTTGTCGAAAATTTCGACTGCCTTTCCATATGATAATTGATACTATACAGCAGGAGAAAGCCAAGGAGCGGTGAATTACATCTTCAAAGACTCATTAACCACACTGCAGGCACAACTGGTATGAGTTAATAGAGTGAAGCCTTTTCTACAATAGGGTGAAAAAATGACAACTCACATATGTCATGGCTCAGAAAACAGATAAGTTCATTATACTATTTGATCGACAATAGTAACACTAATATGTAAAAAAGTACAGTTTTTTGTTCGTATTTCGTCGTTTTAACCATCAAAATGTAACTTTATAACAAAATGAACATGATATTTGTAATGTACGCCAAAATTGAGTAAATTCATTCCATTCTCCACCACAGTATAAGTTTAGCATAATGATGATCGTCGTCTTTCATTTGCTTTTTGGATTATTTCATCTAGATCATTTTCTTCTAGTTCAATAAGTTTTTCGATATGAGACACATCATTATGAATACAAGCTAAATACGTTTTTCCAACAGCTGGCTTTAATGGATGGAAATTTTCAATTTCATCTCCTTGTATGTCGGTTGGCTCTGGTAATACACATTCCTTGACACCTGAGAAAAATGTTTAAAAAAAAAGAAGAAGCATATAGCGGAAGAATTTAAAATTAAAACTTTAACCCTCGTACTACCAACCAGGGTCCAAATGGACCCTGTTCTCGGAAAAATGAAAATAAAATGAAAATATTTTGTTCAGAGCTCCGGTTTTCGCCATGCGAAAGAGCAGACTTGGAGACATGTTT